TACAAATTAATAATGAATAAATAAATGATAATGTCATTACAATATTATAAGAGATATGGTGCTTACAGAAGATGTGTTGAAACCAAAAGAAGGGAAACATTTGGATTAAAGAGTTCATGAAAGTTATTGGGAAAATGAAGATAACTATAAGAGGGCAGATATACACTGAATTAATGAAGTTCAACAAAAAGACCAAAACCTTTGAAGGCTACATGCAAATGAAAATGAGAGAGTAATAAAAGTGTTAGATTGAACAGGAAATAGCAAGAATGGGTGTTTTGGATATGGATAATGATATTGCTATTTATCTGTTTCAATGTTATGTTATTTGCTTGTTTTAATGTTAATGCCATATGCTTTGATATAAATGTTTGCACTTGCAGCACTTGTTTGTTCGGATGAATACGCAACAACTGTGAAAGTTAGATATCTGATTTATGATGACAATGATGAAGAGAACATGTTGAAACATCAAGCGCAGGTGAGCCAGACGAAGATTACGATGAAGAAGAGGAAGACTACTAGACACAGACAGAACATAAGCGACAGAGGAAGGACATCCGTCATGAGTCACAGACACTGATGTGTAACTGGAGTAACACAGAAAGAAGTATAAAAGGTCTGAGTAAAGCACTCTTCAGATGCTGCCTGGATTAAGAGTGAAGGACACCTGATACCCTAACGAGGGCACTTAACAGCAGCTCCAGTATTACTGCTTAGAGTTTGATTACAGAACTTGTAACTTAGCTGATTTTTTGTTTTATGTTGGCATTAGCTGCTTTGTATCCAATAAAATAAGAGATTTTATTGTTCCTATTGCCTCCCGTGAGACTTTACTGTTAACTAGAAACTGAGGCTCAGACAAGAACAAGCACACGAGAGTCTTCTACATCATTCCTGAAGGACTTCAGTCTGCGAGCGGTGACTGCTTTATGGTTTAGGCTAGATTTGACTATCCTTACCCTCCCTGAATAATTACAGGGTTAAAGGTGTAAGACAAAACCGAGTAACAACATGTCAAAGGAATTAAATTTTTCTCTTAAATGTAGACTTTCTTTATCTGCTTCATTTGGAGAGATCAGACGTGTGATATATATCTTTTAATAATGTTGCATATTGCAATCCTTTTGATTTGGAAAGATCTTTACTGAATTTTATAGAGAATTTACGACTTGTATTTAAACAACTCTCAATTTAAAGTATGAAACATATTAGTATATGTTTTAACATTTTTATACTCAAACAATAATTAGTATGTTGTAATAGAGAGGTAATTAATTTCCAATTCTCTGGCTTCTTTAAGGGACTTTAATATCCAAACTTTCCAAAAATCCAAACTCAATACATGCATAGTACAGTGGAAATATTATAAGATTTAGCAAAAGAATGAGAATATTCTCGAGACGTTTCACAGTTATGAGTTATTCCATTTAGTCTAATGAATGTAATATTTTCCTAACAACAAAAACAAGTATATATATATATTTTGGAAAAGTCATATTCATTTGAATGAAGTAACACTAATGACATATTTAATATTAGACTGCAGTTTAATTAAACACTTAGAAATGGTGCCATTTCATTCCAAAATAAAGTTTACAAAGTTTTCCTCCACGGTGTGTGACCTCCTCCTCAACAGATTCCTTCAGTTTCCTCAAAGTTAACACTCTTCAGTGGACATCTCTCACATTTGATCATATTAAGATTAAGACCAGATATCTCAGAAAAAAAAAGAAGCTTTTTTAAAAAAAAAAAGATAGTGTAGTCAATTGACCAATTGACAATTTTTTTTTTGTGCACTTCCAAAATCGGTGATAGCTTGAAAGAAGCTCATATTTCCACAAGAAGGACCCTGTGTGACGAGCAGATAAGCAGCGGAGAGATTGAACAGTCTTGTCTAAAGACCCTAGAAAGAAGAAAATCCACTGGAATTCATGAATCATTTTAGCGGAGCTACACTCTGTGCTCAGGGCTGGAACTGTCTTTCTAAATACTCCCTCCACATTCACATACTTCACACCACACTTCAAAGCTTCAAATCTGAATATTATACTATTTAAATCTTATTGTAATATTATGACTAAAAATATATTATTTTACATTCATTCTTCAAAGATTGTCCTCATTAGTAAAACTAAAAGTAAAAATGTAGGAAAACAAACACTTGATGACAAACAAAAACTTTTATTTTAAAATCTAAAATCACAGCCAGCAGAATAGTGACCAGCAATCACCATTATAACATTTAAACATATATTTGTCATTTTTTTGTACTTATGTAGGAAAAGTCACAAAGTCTCATGAAAACAAACTTTTCTTCAAATTGTGAATAAAATGACACAAACAGCGAGTAAAAGGCACAGCATTTATAAACACTGAAGCTGTCAGTCAGTTCAGCACAAACTCACTGTGTGTGAAAACTCCCGTTTTAATCAATTCATCTGTCAAAACTGCACAATCCATCTTTTATTTACTCTGTGTTTCTGCTTTGTTTGTTGTAATGAGAGGATTTGTGATTGTTAGCAACAGACAGACACACAGCTAACTTAATATACAATTAAATAGAATAACAATGCGTATAAAATGTAAGACAGATCATGTAAATGTTTTAAGTAACATGGACATTTCACACATTGCAGATTTGCTTTATATCTTTTGACACACTTAAGTGCTGCACTTGACAATCACATTTAAACATCTGAATCATTATGAATTAATTTAATACAAATATTATTAAACTGAAGAGCCAGACAGACTCATCTGAGCTTCTTCCTCCTCTGTTCAGCTTTACATTAAACACAATGATCATTAGTTTGAATACTAAAGCAACATTAATCATTCAATATCATGTTTCTAACACACATGCTGCATTATTTCATTGTAAAGTCTGAGTCTCTTCAGCTGTATGGATCACATTTACACATTTATCACACATTTATTTCTCCTCATAGACACAGTAGTGAAGCTCTTCTGTGGATCCTCACCTGATGTTTACTGCTCCTCTCAAGACCACTTCAGATTATGATATACAGCATTTATCAGCTTTTGGTGATTCAACTCTATCAGGTATTTCTTGTTTGTGATTGATCTCTATCAGGGCCTTTGATGGATCTCTATCTATCTACACTCTAAGGTGGAACAGAAGAGAAGATAATCAGAGTTCAGTGGAACAAAGAACAAATTAGTTACTATATTACAATCACATTTTTTTTTTTGAGTAAAAAGTTGCATTAAAATCCTGTAATCAGATTAATTACGGACTAAACCTGATTTTAAATACATATTTATAAAACAGCATTTGTGTTTTAAATATAATACATTTAGAACATGAATTCCATTCTGTTTGTGTCTCTATTGAGTCAATATAAAGAGAAACACATACTAACGAGTGTACGCCAAATATAATAAATGATAAGGAACAAATACAAATGAGATTGTCTTAAAACAAAAAGCTTTCAGTTAAATGTTGCACTAGTTAAAGCTGTTTGTCCTCTAGTTTAAACATGTTTGTATTGGTCTCAGTGAATAACTGAAATTATTGCACAGCTACCTGGAATACTTGATTCTGATTGGTCAGTCGTGACATTCTGAGGTGTGTTATTCATTAGGTGTGTTATCATTAGCAACGCAGAATAACACTCAGTCATACGGTATCTGAGTCCGGCGTTTCTTTCACTTCTCTCGTATCACACCACCGCGCTCTCACTCGTTTCATTCAAACACAACTGCTATTAGCTTGTGCCTCAGTTACTGACTGTATTTACCCTCAAACCAAACCGCAGGAGATTCCTGTTAATAGTAGGCTTGCGGAGACATTGTTAAAAGTGTGTCTTGTTGTTAAAGTTGTTGATAACTGACGAGAAGTGTTTAAGCTGAATCCAAATTCGCCCCCCCAACTTTAGGTATCCTTTCACAGGGCATCCTAAGTACATGACCGAGCCATCTTAATCAGCGTATCTTGATCTCCTGAGATATGATTTTGATCTTGTCTTTTTGTACAGATTGGTATTGGAGATGGTATTGGGCCAGTACATGTTACAGATCTTTCTAAGGCAACTATTAAGGAAGGCATCTATCTTGCTCATGTCTTCTTTCACTACTCTCCAACATTCAGAGCCATACAAAAGCCCTGATTTAACATTGCTGTTATAAAGCTTGATCTTTGTTTTGAGGTTTAGCTGTTTGGACTTCCAATTATTCGGGCCTTGATATCTTTTTGGGCTCCGTTATCAGTGCTAATAACACTACTAAGATATGTGAAGTAATTTACATCCTCGGCTGGCTCTCCCTCGATGTTAACTGGGTCAGAAACGAGAGCATTAATATGCATGGTCTGCGTCTTCTGTTTGTTTATATGTAAGCCAACTTGTTTAGCATATCTGCTCAGCATATTTGTTTTTTTCCTGAATGTGAGTGTATGTGACTGAGATCACCGCCAGATCATCGGCGAAGTTAAGATCTTCCAAATGAGAAAAGGGGGTCCATTGAATGCCACGGGAATGGTCAGATGTTGTTTGATGCATAACCCAGTCAATGGTGATCAGGAATAGAAGAGGTGAGAGAATACAACCCTGCCGCAAGCCAGATCTGACTTCAAAGGACTTTGTCAATGTATTATCGAGAATAATGGAGCACTCAAAGTGTTCATAGAACTTCCCAATAAGTTTTACAATCTTAGGTGGTTTTCCATAAGCTCTTAGTTTCTTCCATAAGCTCTCTCAGTGGACACTGTCAAATACTTTTGTGAAGTCTATGAAATTTATGTAAAGTGGTACATTCCATTCCAAACATTGCTCTATGATGTTGCAGAGTGCAAATATCTGGTCTATGCATCCTCTCCCACTTCCAAAACCTGCTTGTTCTTCTCTCAATTTGTGGTCTATGGCACTATCGACCCTCTTCAACAGGATCCTACAGAAAACCTTGCTGGGAATAGAAAGAAGTGTAATACCCCGCTAGTTGTTGCAATTGCTAAGGTCTCCTGTCTTGGGCAGTTTGAATATGAGGCTCCAATCCTTAGGGATAGTTTCTTCATCCCATATCATTAGGAAAAGGTCTGTTAACATGTTGGCTGATGTTTATGACCAGTAAGCTGTTTTGTAATCTTGTAAACCGTATTAAGTTTTCCCTGTAATGCAGCATTTTCGGCTTCATATTTCAGTTTCTCTACAAAGGTTCTCTTATCATTGCGGGCACTCTTCTTTAATTCTCTGTCTTTGGTCTTATACTCTTCTTGAGCTTTCTCAATGAGTCTGGGTGATCTAGCACTCAATCGTTTTTCCTTGGCTACTCTTCTTTCATCAATCTTTTTCCAAGTACTAGGTCAGCGGTGGCGAACTCTGGTCCTGGAGAGCCACAACCCTGCAGAGTTCAGCTCCAACCCTAATTAAAACTCACCTGCCTGTAGCTTCCTAGTAACCCTTCAGACCTTGATTAGCTTGTTCAGGTGTGTTTGATTAGGGTTGAAGCAAAACTCTGCAGGGCTGCGGCTCTCCAGGACTGACGTTCGCCACCCCTGTACTAGGTGTTATCCATGCCTTGTTCTTCTTTTTCCTGTAGCCAATCACTTCTTTAGCAATCTCTATGAAAACCTCCTTGATCTTGCCCCATGTGTCTTCCACATTCTCCTGCTCTTGACCCTCTTTATCTGTAAGTGCTTCTAAACGTTTTTTCAGCTTGATGGAAAAGGTTTTCGCAATGTCTGGCTGACGTAACTTACTGACATCAAAGATCTTTTGATGTTGTTTAATGTTTTTTGTGGCCCGCAGTTTTAACTTCACCTTAGCTATAACCAAGTAGTGATCACTGCTGACATCTGCTCCCCTATGGACCCTCACATCTTGCAGGGATCAGCGCCATTTCTTATTAATGATAACATGGTCAATTTGGTTTAATGTATGGCTATCTGGTGATCTCCATGTCAATGTATGAATGTCTCTGTGAGCAAAGATGGTGCCATCAATAACAAAACTGTTGTTAAGGCAGAAGTCAAGTCTTTCTCCACTGTTATTGATGTTTCCACAACCGTGGCACCCCATAGCCTCTTCCTTGTTGGTATTGTCACTGCCTACTTTTGGCATTCATGTCTCCTATCATCAGGAGCAAATCATGCTGTGGGACGTTACTAACAACATGTTGTAATTGCTCATGCCATTCATCTTTGACCTCGCCTGTTGCCTCATTGGTATGAGAATAGCACTGCAGTATGGTCAATTTACAATATTTGGAGCCTTAATCTTGCTTTAATTAAGCGATCACTGATGGGTTCCCACTCTAGCAGGCATTTGCATAGTTTGTGCTGCTGTTTAATAATCATTTGAAACTGGTAAACTAGCAGCTCCAGTATGAAATAATTTATCCTGAACTCTGTCATGGAAATTATATATAAAAATAATTTAATAATCAATTTACAATGAATTTATATCTGTGTTGTATTAAGCTGTATGCTGTGGGCGAACGCTTTGTAAAATGAATGGATGGATGATTCAGCTGCGGATGCCATCGTCTGGAGAGATGCAGGAATGCATTCGGTGCGCGACTCTCACAGTGCATTATGGGTATTCTCTAGCCGTTGGGCATACATCAGTTGTACACTCGTTATTGCTGTGCATTGTGTGATTGAATGAGTGCACTCGATAATGTCCACTCAGTTTTTGGACAAAATGGCTGTCCCCTCAAAAAGTGCCCTATTTAAGCGTATGGGGTGATTTCCGACACAAAATGCTTTCTCCTCAAATAACATTGTATGTCCTCATCTTTATTTATCTGGTGAAAAGATGTGTAATTAATAATACAACCCCAGATAGCACACGTATGTCTGCAAGATTTCTGTTAAAAATGGCTTCATCTGGAAAGCATCTGCTGTGTTCAAACAGTTTATATACATTCATACGGCGACTGTACATTATCTTAAATATCCGTCTTGTCTGAACTTCCAGGTTCACAGCCGTTTGTTAGGAAGAGTTTTCCTTTGTGGAAGCTTTGCGTTTAAAGAGCTAAAAAATATTTCAAATCAAATCAATAATTTGAGTCTAGTTATTCACTTTTGTGGCAAGAAAGCATATAATAAGTGTGATAATGCACATCCAGCCGGATGTTATCACAGAATAAGCCCCTTCAGGAGGACACAAGTCCTGATCACCGTCGGGTTTATTCTGTGATAACAAGCGGCTGCAGGTACATTATCTCTTACATAAAGTAAGTGTAAAGTAATGTGACGTGTTGCTTGTCAAAGTAAAAACACACAAGAGACAGAGACATTGATCATGTGATGCTGGACGACTGTGAGCTGAAGCTGGAATCTGCTCTGATTTTACCAGCGTTTTCCTACAATCTGACCAAATCTATTTCAAACTGTAATGATTCACTATTACTGATGTCATTAATAAAGCAGCTGCTGCTGTATAAAGCTGTGACGGTCTGCTTTTGTTCTCTTTCCTCCTTTGTGTTCAACATTTTATCACCTTTACATTTCATTCTGACACAAACCCTTTGAAACAAAGCTTGATGATAATTTGATAATCTCCTTTAAGAAATATTTGAAAGCTAATATTTGTTCATATATCAGAGCTAAATGAAGATCTTTAATATCACAAAGTGAAGTTTACTCACCTCAGTTCACAGTTTGAGTCTCGTAGCACATCAATGAGCTGCTGCTTTGAGTCTCTAATCATATTGCGTCTCAGATCAAGCTCTTTTAGAAACTGCAGTGCTTTTGTGTTTGTCAAAGACTGAGTTAAAGAAGAAACATCTGTAATGCCACAGTTATTTAGACTAGAAAGAGACAAACAGAGGAAGAGATCATCTTACAAACAAATCATTAAGGTGAAGAATTTTTCACAAATATAATGTGAACACATAAACCCACTCATCATGAGATATTGAGTATAAAATGATTTGGTTTAAACTGTTGAAGTGATTTTAATCATTTTGATTCTTGTCTGTGAATGTTACTGACCTCAATCTCTCCAGTTTACAGTGTGACTCCTTCAGTACGTCACATAAGTGATTCACTCCTGTGTTTTTTATTTGATTCTCACGGATGTTCAGTTCTCTCAGGTGTGATGGGTTTGATTTCAGAGCTGAAGTCAGGATGAGACACTGTTTCTCTGTAATACTGCATCCATACACACTGAAGACAGAAAGCGAAAACACAATGAATGAGATCTATGTAAAGTTTATGTGAATAAATAAATCATAAGTAAATGCCATAGTCAAAAAATAACTTTTTGACTAATAAATTTGTACAATTTTAACTTATTTCACTCAAATTAATATTGCTTAGTTGGGTCAACACAATTTATCTGGTTTCATTAAATTAATTCTCACTAGTTTGGGTTAGCTCAACTTTAGTACATTTGTCAAACAAAATCTTATGTGGGAACAAATTATTATTTATTTATTCAGAGGTCTAATCATTATTATTATTATTATTATTATTATTATTATTAATAAACAAGCCACTCTTCTGCATAATGGTAACTACAAAATTCAAAGCCATTACAGAAACTGTCCAACATAACTGAACATTAACCCATTTAATAAAAATTTTTCCCCAGACATCAAAATATCTAAATAATGTGCATGTCATTAGTAACCCTTTCAAATAATCAATAATTTGTTAATTTTTTTGAAAAGTGTGTGAAAAATTGTGTTTTATGGTCGGTCACAATTGTGACCGGTGGGATAATGTGTGTACTGAACTGAAATATTTCTGCGGTCATACAATTTTTTATATATCTTAGCCCAGCTATTTTAAACTGTTTGATCACATTCTAGGGTTACTATTATGCATTAAAAACCCTTATACAACATTGATAGATACAGTACACTGAGATAAAAGACAAAAAAACAAAAAGACCAACATATTTCAAAAATTGTTTTGTAACACATATCATCAACTTTTTATATTAGTGCTACCAGTATTACAACATCAATATTGTAACTTATTTGTGACATTTGAACTTTAAATTTAGAGCAATATTTTGTCATTACAACATTTTAGTGCAGTTTTCACTAACATCTGCAATTGGATTTATATGTAAAGTCACTGTTATCCCACCGTCACTATTGACCATCAACATGTTTCCTCATTCTATGACCACACTCAACAAAACTGAATATATGTGAATAATTAATAATAAATTAGAATGTCATGGAAAAGTTCATTTATTTCAGTAATTCAACTCAAATTGTGAAACTCGTGTATTAAATAAATTCAATGTACACAGACTGAAGTAGTTTAAGTTTTTTGTTCGTTTAATTTTGATGATTTTGGCTCACATTTAACAAAAACCCACCAATTCACTATCTCAACAAATTAGAATACTTAAAACCAATAAAAAAAAAAACAGTTTTAGTGAATTGTTGGCCTTCTGGAAAGTATGTTCATTTACTGTACATGTCCTCAATACTTGGTAGGGGCTCCTTTTGCATGAATTACTGCCTCACTTCGGCGTGGCATGGAGGTGATCAGTTTGTGGCACTGCTGAGGTGGTATGGAAGCCAACGTTTAAAA